CACGTCGTCGGGGCCCTCGCGCCTGCGCGAAACCGTTCTCTTCGTCTGGGCCCTCCTCGCCACCGCCGCCGTCATAGTCCTCGCCGTCTGGACCCAGCACCGCAGTCAGACGCACTTCGAGCCCCCCTCTGACGCGAAGCGCAACCTAATCTTCATGGTCTCGGACGGCATGGGGCCCGCCTCGCTCTCCCTCACCCGCAGTTTCCGCCAGCACGTCGAGGGTCTGCCCGAGGGCGACGTCCTCACTCTCGACCGCCATTTCTGGGGCTCCAGCCGCACTCGTTCGTCCAACTCACTTGTCACCGATAGCGCCGCCGGAGCCACAGCATTCTCCTGCGGCAAGAAGAGCTACAACGGCGCCATCTCCGTCCTTCCCGACTATGAGCCGTGCGGTACTGTCCTTGAAGCCGCCAAGCGCGCCGGCTACATGACGGGTCTGGTCGTCACGACCGACATCACCGACGCGACCCCCGCCTGCTTCGCAAGCCACGTCCTCACCCGCGCCATGGGCGACGACATCGCCCTGCAGGAGGTCGGCGACGGCCCGCTTGGCAGGGTTGTGGACATCATGCTCGGCGGCGGTCGATGCCACTTCCTTCCCAATGGGACCGAGGGTAGCTGCCGACTGGACGACACCGACGTAATCGCTAGGGCGCAGGATAAGTTCGGCTGGAACTATGCCGGTGACCGCAAGGCCTTCGACGCCCTCGAGGGCGGCAACAAGGTCAGCTTCCCGACATTGGGCCTCTTTGCCACCGGCGATATCCCCTTCGAAATAGACCGCCGCAACATGAGCGACGTCTACCCCAGTCTGAGCGAGATGGCCGCCACCGCGCTGCGTGCGCTCGAGAAGGCAACCGAGAACAGCGACAAAGGTTTCTTCCTGATGATCGAGGCTAGCAGGATTGACCATGCTGGCCACATTAACGACCCCGCCGCCCAGGTCCGCGAGGTCCTTGAGTACGACAAGGCCTTCAAGCATGTATCGGACTTTGTCAAGCACAGCAAGACCGAGTCGCTTTTGGTGGCCACCAGCGACCACGAGACTGGTGGCCTCTCGACTGCTCTGCGTAAGTCCTGACGTGCCTTTGTACTGCCAGCCATATAACTAATCGATACTATAGAGGAGCCCGGGCACCTGCCCGTCTACAACTGGTATCCCAACGCGCTCGCAAAGGCCACCGCCTCCGCCGAGCTGTTGTCCAAGAAGTTCATCCAGCACATTGCTAGCAGCAAGTCGAAGAACAAGGACGAGCTCAAGGCCTGGGTCAACGAGAAGCTCGTCATTCCCGGCCTGGGTATCGACAACGCCCACCCGGCGGAGCTCCAGGCCCTCGTCGACCGCCCCGATGTCTCAGTCCAGACGTTCGCCGCCATGATCAGCCTCCGCGCGCACATCGGCTGGAGCACCCACGGCCACACGGCGCTCGACGTCAACGTCTACAGCACCGGCGGCGAGGAGGCCCACAAGATCCGCGGCAACGTCGAGAATACCGACATCGGCAAGTTCCTGCGCGGCTACCTCAACGTCGACGTTGACGCCATCACGGCGGAGCTGAAGGAGAAGATGAACAAGCAGCAGCTGGGCGTCATGAATGTGGACATGCGGCAGCAGATGCCGGGCCTGACCGAGGACCCCGATGCATGGAGCCAGAGCCAGGAGTACGCCCATCTCTCCTCGGAGGCTGGCGCGGCCTAGTTCTGGCCTTTCGTTTCTTAACTTCTCTCTCTCTCTCTCTCTTTCTCTCTCCTCTTTTTTGTCGGGAACGTCTCCCTCGAGTCGTCGGATGGGGTCTGTGCATATGGCATTATAGGAGTTGACTGGCTTAACAGGATTTCTTTCGTAGGATATGACTGGACGCCTTCATCCACCCATCCACACGTGGCTTGATCTACGCATAGCAGCAACATGCAGGTTAGAAACAATTGTACCATGTATTCACATCACACAACCCATGGCATAGGAGACCGAAAACGGCTATTTGGGCCGATTGTGAAGTGTTTGCGAGCTTTCTCTTAGGGAACGGAAACTTCCAGCCCGACCGTTAATACCCGACGATAAGCTCGCCGTCATCTCGACGCGGGTGAAGGATGGCACAGTCGCGTCCCACAAGGGGACGGTGAATCAATAAGCAGGGGGCCCTCCACAGATTACGTTCGGTGACTTACACCCCTGAGGTCTTGAGCCACAGGCATTCGGCCAACCCCCAATCACGATTAGTGTCGGCCTTGGCAAGTGCAACCACGGTCGGCGTTCGATACGGCGTCTTGTGTCGTCGTCGATGGACAATCTCCTCCGCTTGTGGTGAGCGCGCGCAGACGTGACTTCACTCGCATACGCCAGGTATTCCAAGACGTGATGTGATGATATGCCGCTGATGCAGCGACTGTGGTGACTCATTGCCGGCCGGTGCTGCCCAATTTCACAAACCCCACACGCGCCGCATCATGTCAGTTAGGGGCCGCCGAATGTCCCCCTCCCCCACTCGTGCACTCCCACATCCTTGAATACCGAGGGATCGGCGTTTCCTTTATCGACCATGTTTAGCCGAGAGCGAAACGTGAAGTGTCAGTAGCCCATAGTAGTTGGGGTAGGTGGAAAGAGAAAGGATGATTTTCCGTCATGATGCTGGGATGCTTCTTCACGATGCCGTCTCCCGAATCCTCATTGGCTTCGAAATCATCAACAAGGGCCAGAACCAGCCCGGCAGCCTAATCAGAAGCCTAAATCTTTCGGCCGTAAGAAAGCTACCCGAGCGTCTCGTGCGCGCGCGCGCGCGCGTGTGATGAAGTGGACTGCGGGTTACCGGCGATTTGGGAGGCTAACAGGTTCGAGTGTAACCCAACGGCCCCTAAATGTCTGATCGAGTGTGCCAAGTCAAGTGAAGCATGAATCTCTGGTCGGAGAATCAGTAGCCTGCGGCTGCCCGTAGGTTGATTGGGCCGTCTATTGTTTGTTGCTTTTTCAGCGGCATTTCGGCCGTAGTGATGGATACTGGGCTTCGAACGGACTCTCATTGTCTGCAGGAAACCAGGATGGTCTGTTCCCGCTTGCGGTTGTTCGTGTATCCGATTGAATCCGGTTGGGTTCAACGAACAAGAACGGACAACAGCCATGTTGTCGATTTCGGGTTACCTATTCGTGATTGGAAGCCAGCGATCTACTGGTCTGATAATTGCCCACTGGGCCCAACGGATGATTTGCGCAGCTTAAGACTGGCCCCCCGGTCGTTATAAGCGAATCCTAGGTGTCGCCAGGCAGAGATAGCGCGAGGAGGCACGGAGAAACGCTGAGTATTGCTACAGACGAGAGTGGGACGAGACTTGGCTGATGTTGGCATCCCACGCCCTGGCCATAGTGTCTCTTTTCTCTTTCATCCCAACAGTCTGGATGAGCCGACAAGGGTGACAGGGTAGGATCATGTAGGAATGCGAGCGCGAGAACGTTAGCAAACAATCAGTTCCCCGAACAGCAAGCCTTCTTTGAGAAAGGAGTTTTTAATAACAACATGCGTGTTTCGGCTTTGATCAGGACGAAAGGATGGCTGGCCTAGGTGGTCTTTGTTGGCCAGACGGAATCTGATAGCAAACGAATCGTTCCACGCTGCCCGCTGCCGGTTATGATGCAGGTGCCAACAAGCGCCGCGATCGAGGGCGGGCAAATACATGATGATAGAAGCTTCATAATACCTATCGCAGCCCTTATCTGGGAAGCGAATATGTAATACGCCAGTTCGGACGAACATAGCTACCAAACTTGAGTGTCCAAGTTGGCCAATTGATAACGCCTGGGGTGGATTGCGCCCGATATCCGACCCCCCTTGTCGGCATACGCATGATGTATCCGTACGTTAGTCCGGTCATTCGCAGTGTGGCGTGAGACAAGGGGTTTGCCCTGGCTCTTCGGGAAGAGACGATAAAGGCCGAAAAGGGAAACCGGGGCAGCGCAGGGGGGTGGACGGGTTTCCGTGGGAATCGTAGCGCAAGGGCTGTTGCCTCGGGATCAAGGGTAGAAAAAAAGTGAATAAAACAATAGAATAAAATAAAATGACATGTTCCGCCGACCGGCGCGCATGCCTCGACTGGGACTGTTGTTTGCTTGCATCAGGACACCAACCGGAGCTTGTCATGGGGGGTGTGGGATCTGGCCTCACAGTGTGGGCGTCGCGGACGTGCGAAGTTGGATTTCGGCACAGGAGTTGATACTGTGCTTCGGAATCGTCTCCGTGTAAGTCGGAGAGGGGTTGAGTATTGGATTTGCACAAAAGCTGAGTGGTGAGTTGGACGATTGGATGGATTGATGGCAAGATACGAGAAGAGACGTTTTGGGACGCGTGTGTCAAGAGAGGGAAAACGGGCCGCCCGTTAAATGGTTGTGTTGCTACCCTCTGTTACGTCAGGCTCTGGCAGGACAGACCGACTTTGAAGATGCACGGGAAGGAACCATCGAACTGTAGACATGCATGTACGTATCGCAGTGTTGTTGCGCTATTCCTTGACTTATGGTACGCCCGCACGGGCGATGCTCACTACCTATAACGAACCCAGACTTTGCACAAGTAAACGTTGTGCTGGAAACGCAAGGGGCCGCCCTCCCATGCTATCGCAAGGTACTCATATGACAACAATGCCTTCCAAGGCACAAAACACCTAAGTCGGCGACTCGTGTCGCATCACGGCGTGGATGACGTGGAGGAGAAGAAAAAAAAGGAGAAAAAAGGAAGGAAATACAAGATGAATGTGTCCGAAACGCCCGAGACGCCGTCCAACGCCCTGATAACATGACATGCCCTGCCGATCCGATCCCGGCTCGCATACCTATTCATAACCACCCTCTGTGAAACCCCTGAGTTTCGTGCTTCGTCTGCTCGTGTAGTCCTTCCTCTTCGTTGACTGTATCGCGTCCATAGCCGATGTCAATGACGTGAGGATATTGCCGGTGCTCAATCAAGGCCTAATCCTGCATGTATCGAGTCCGACTCGCCAAATAGGCCATGGCCCTACATGACCGTCGACGACAGGAGTCGGGCGTCGACGTCGTCCATAGGGAGCTCCATGCTACCACGTGCCTCCATCCCCTGTAGCCTCGACTCCATGTTTTGGAAGCGAGGTTCGTAGCCGCCGGTGCGGTTCTCGAGGTTCTCCAAGCGCTTGTTCATCGTGTCGAGATGCTGCTCGATGCGCATGAAACCCTGGGCCATGTCGTGGCTGAGCCGATCGATCTTGTTTGTGAAGGAGCGGATCGACTGGGCGAGAGGGGTGTTTTCCTGGCCAGGCGGAGCAGTCGCGACGCGAGGCTCATGGTTGTGGCTGCCCTCCTGAACAGCAAAACGCCATTGGTTTCCCAGCTGGACCTCGCAAACGGCCTTTGCGCGCCACGGACAGTCAACCTTGCGCGTCGAGGGGTTGCGCTTCTTCGCAGTGCTGCTGTACTTGACGCCGCCGCGGTCGCAAACCAAGTCGTACCGAGTAGGTTTGCCATCGCGGTAGTTTGAAGCGCGGAGCTTGACGACACCGTAGCCTTGGTCCTTGGCGACGCGCTGAACGGAAGTCAGGAGGTCCTCAAAGGTCCGGAAGATACCCTCGGGCGGTGGTAAGAGCGCCGGCGGAGGCGCATTCGACATGACTGCGGAGGAGTCCAGCTTGGCGGTTGAGAAGGGAAAGTGGGGGAAAGGGTGTCGTTGGATGACGAATCCGGGAAGAGCCAACGGATGCGTCAGAAAAAAAGAAGGAGAATGAAGAGGAGAGCGGGGTCGAACTGAGGTTAAATGTGTGCGCGACTGATTGTCTAGTTGGCGATGATCTGAATGTAACTTGAGACCAAAAAGAGCAGGTAGGGAAGCTGTTCGTGACGGAAGGGTGGGAGACACGGAGAGGTTGGAGTCAGAGAATTCCAATCCGCACGGTCTGATCTAGGTTAGCAGTTAATCCGCCCTCCGGCTAACCTTTTTTAGCGAGTGTCAGCTTCCAGGATCCAGCTGCGAAACTATGGGGCCTTGGCACTGCAGTGGGCACCTCATGTACCTTGGTGCCCTGGGGACGTACCTATAACTGTCCTTCGTAGTGGAGGACCTTAAGGTCGCAGGTAGAGAGAGAGGGGGGGGGGAGAACGTTGTCGGCAACAGCGGACTACCAGGCAGATAAATAAGTTGAACAGACAGCGGCAGGGTATTTGAAGGCAAAGAATAGCTGCTTTTGTTTTTTCTCCAGGCCAGCAGCGTCCTCGCCCCTTCCCTTGATTGATCGCCTTCCAGAACCAACCAACCTTGACAACCTGCACCTCCCCATCTGGTTTTGCAGGATATGTATCACGTGACGCAATGTACTAGGACCGGTCGAATCGACTCGGGAAAGAGTGGGGGTACCGCAAGAATGACGCACCAACCACCGCGACGTGCCGTTGGGACCTCTGCTAGGAGCCAAATGTGGCCCCTGTCTGCCAGCCCAGATGAACACTGCACCTGCTGTCACCCAGGTCGGAATTACGTTGAAGACACCATCCAACACAGCACAGCACCTCCGGCCTGTTACCGTGTCCATCTTGGACCCCATCCAGCAATCTGCATGACAGTGGCGCGTTTGCTCTTCGAACTTGGGCTTTGAGGCGCTTCGCAAACATTCAACACGCTGCTTCTGGATATACTGTGCTGAGATTGCGCATTGCGCCTCAAGCTCGCTGCATCCACCCATTAAACCGCACCGGTGTGGTCCAACACCTCGGACTGCGGCCTTCGGTTTCGTCAACATCCGGTCCAACTACACCGCCTTGACTGCTGGTTGGCCTGTCACTCGACCGTTTCCTCCTCTTCTTCTCCCTTTTCCTCCGTGTCATGATTCGGTAGATCCTCGTTTGTCCGCAACCAGCTTGTACCATCATGGCAAACAACGGGCCGACCATCAAGATAGAGACCGGCGCCCAGGGCAGCGAGGCATGGGACGAGGAGCGTCTGGAACTGGCTTTGGACCAGCTCAAACTCTTGCACATCAAAGTTTGTTGTCCAGTACTGCGCGGATTGGCAGGACTTGGAACTGACCTTTTCAAAGCTTCGAGGTTTGCGCACAACAATTCCGATAATGTTGGAGCCATTGTCAACTAAGCACTCATCTCGTACGTTGCTTGCACTTCCCGTGCCACAAGCCCCTGCTAAAATGTTTCTCCTAGCCCAAGCCGAGTTCGATTCCTTCATAGAATCGGTCGCCACGGCTAAGAAGAAGGTCCAGGACTTCCAAGACCTTCGCAAGAGCGACGAGATAACCAAGATCATGGACCATGTTGCTCAGCGTCGGCAAGAAGAGCCCAACGGTATTAAGGCTTGGCGAACGACAGACCATCCCGACTGGACTATGCCGACGCCGACGACGACAACGACAGCGACAGAGGAATCGTAGCGCTAGCGTACTTCGGACTGGATTATAGTATGCGTGTGACGTTGGGCGGCTCGCGTGTGAACTAGAGAGTCATCGTTTTGGTTTGGCTTTGGAGTAGTGGGGATAATTGGGCTAAGGTTTTGAAAAGGGGCATTGCATATAAACCGACAGACCGCATCGAAAGATGTCGAACAAAGTGCATTTTGATAGGGGTTTTTCCCCCTCTTTCTGGACGGAATCGGCTTGCAACACGAGAAGTGGACGGTGTCCGTTGCACAGAAGCGGTTACTCTGGGCACTCGGTTTGGACCAGTCGATCTGTCTGGTTACCTTATACATGCCAATCTGCCCCTCGGTGGGTTTGCTATCCCCGCGGGTCACTTTCTAGCAGCCTCGAAGCCAATTGGCTGGCGTCACCGATCATTCACCGACACCTAGCGCACCTTGCACGTGAACTGGGCTTGCTCCGGGGCTTTTCCCACAAAAAAAGTATTAGCCACATGTGGCTTGCTCCATCCCCATCGCCTAAGCGGGCTTTTCCACATCACACAAAAATTTCCACTCGAAATATTCGCTCGCGATCTTCGACTCCCAACTAACCAACCCGCAGCAAATCAGTCAAAATGGCCGGAAACCGTGTCACGTACCGCCGCCGCAACGGGTGAGTGACTGCTCCTGGACTTTTTACTTGCGATCGATGCAACGAACGACGATGTTTCCTCTCCCGCACGGTTGATCGCATGCTTGTGTCTTTGGAGGACTGCATAATGGCTGACTTTGGGTTCTTTTTCCCTTCTACTGCAGCTACAACACCAGCTCTAACCTGACCCGGATCGTCAAGACCCCCGGTGGTGAGCTGAGAATCCTCCACATCAAGAAGCGCGGTACTGCCCCCAAGTGCGGTGACTGCGGCGTCAAGCTGCCCGGCGTAAGTTCGAACCCAACACCCAGTACCGAAGCCGAAACGACCGATTCGAGGGGCCATTTGAGATGGGGCATGGGACTATGGGGTGTCATCCGGACACGAAGGCGTCTACCACAACGACGAACTTGAGAGATAGACCAGAGGCTGTCTGTAGAGAGATATCGCATTGGAATCAGCACTCTCAAATGGCTACCACGAACATCGGTCTCGAACAGCATAGCACAAGTAGCGTCAGCGTACTGACAGGACTATTTCGCAGGTTCCCGCCCTCCGCCCCCGCGAGTACTCCCAGATCTCCAAGCCCAAGAAGACCGTCCAGCGTGCGTACGGTGGCTCGAGATGCGGCAACTGCGTTCGTGACCGCATCGTCCGTGCCTTCCTCATCGAGGAGCAGAAGATCGTCAAGAAGGTGCTGAAGGAGCAGAGCCAGAGCGAGAAGAAGAAATAAACCCAGACACGTCTCTTCTTGGTCAACGTCAACACAACACTGGCAGGAATGGGATTTTAAGGGGTTGGTTCATTGCTTCGGTGTTCATTAGGGCAAAAGGAACTGCATGATACAAAGAAATCGTCAGGCCACAGGCGGAGTGAAAACGGATTATTCTGCCGATGCTGTCATTAGGGCACTCTCTAGGCCTCGATACCTGAATGAAAACGGAAATCGAGCCCTTCAACGCTGCATCAGCCTCTCGTTTGGTTCATGCCGGGTTTCCTGTTTAGTCGTTCTGTGACGGGATGACCCCGCGGCGTCGTGGTCTCGGCGCCTAAAAGTGGTTTACTTCCCAAGATCCGGATTATGACAGCGAATTCAACTTTCTATCGCATTTTTGGCATATGTAAATGATGCATATACCTCCATGCTGGTGTTCTATCCTCTGTCCCCCCTTGCCATTGTCGCTCGCGGCTGCACTGGCAGCGCAACCCTGTAATGATGACGTTCAAGATACTGGTGCGTCGACGAGAAGGGAGAGGGAAAGGAGAAGAAAAAAAAAATCGCGGAGCTGCACTCAACTCTTACCAAGCACCAACCAATCCACGAAATCATTCTCTTCCTTTCGCGCGTCTGGACCCGAAAACTCAATTGTTTGTCTATTAAAGAGAAGAGACCCCAATTACGAATCGATGCACTCCTCGACGAGCGCCCGCGTGCTCCGCGCCTTCGCGCGGGCGCAGCGCAGCCTTCCGCGATCCGTTCCCCGAGCCTCTCCGGCTGCACCCTTACAAGCGTGGACAGCTCCCGCACAGCTCGGCCGCCTTGGCAGCCAATTCCACACCTGCCCCGTCCGGTCGCGGGAAAAGCCCAAGGACTACCAAGGCGCAACCGACTTTGGCGAGATGGACGTGCTGGGCAATACGCCAATCCCCTCAACCTCGATTGACGCCTGCGTACCGGACGGCTTCCACCTGAACAGCGGCGTCAAGATCATGGACGGCGACGCGGCGCTGCTCGTCGGCGGCGAGGCGTTCGCGTGGCGGCCGTGGGAGGCGAAGGGGTCCAAGAAGCTGATCAACGCCAAGGGCCAGTTCGAGCTGCCGGCGGAAGCGTTCGGGTTGCTGGGGCTGGTCTGGCCGAGACCTGGTGAGTCTCCTCTCCTCTGGGCATCGGCTGGCTTGTGGAAAGACTGGAAGGTGGCTAACGAGACTCGGCCGCAGATCTCCTCATCATCGGTGTCGGTCCCAAGATTGTACCGCTCAGCCCAGCGACGAAGAAGCACCTTAGCTCGCTCGGCATCCGTGTCGAGGTCCTGGACACAAGGAACGCTGCCTCGCAGTTCAATCTGCTTGCTACGGAACGAGGTGTCGATGATGTTGCGGGTGCCATGATTCCCATCGGATGGGTTGATGGCAAGGGAGCCATGTGAGTTAACTGCTGAAAGAGTCACGGCCAACTGGGTTCATCACTGGTTGAACAATAGTTGTCCTGGGATTGCCGACACTTGGGTAGATGCGGGGGGTTCGCACGGCAACTTCACTGTGATTCATGGAACGGGGGGGGGGGGGGGGGGGGGGAGGCATGGCACTCTGTCAACCTACCAGATCTTCAAGGCCTGGAGCTGATACGCCGTGAAGTTTAGCAGAACGAGCTTCTGGAATTTTCACGAGGGCTATTGCCAAAGTCGCACCTCACGGAGAACCAAACATGTAAAAACTACAACGGCTGAGCTGCACGCCTGCTATCGGCGGGTGCGGTTTTTTTTTTTTTTTGCCATTACTTTACTTTAACATCTCAAGAAACGAGATACCTCTCGGTATGAGAGGACTACATGTAATATTAAATCGACTGTTTACTCAAATCCCATGCACAAAATAGCCAACCCAAAACTCGGCTCTATGAGATACGTAATTGGCGTTACGGGCCCCCGGACCCCATCATTCGTAGGGCGTTGCAATTGGCCAAAAATTCCAGAAACAAGGAAACCAATAGCAAAGGTTTGCCAGTCCCGGGTGGAGGAGGAATGAGCCCAAATGACGAACTGTTGGCTGGAAGTGGAAGTGAGCAGTGACATGAATTGCCAAAAAGGCAAAAGTCTGTTCTACTGTATTCTTCCGTGCCCGCTGCGCGCCTGGACGGACGGACCTTGGCTTGCTTGCGAGGCTCGATTACTGCCCTCGGCGGCCGTCTTGGCTTGTCTCTTCCTCTCCACTCATTCTCACTCACCCTCCCGACTGCTCGCTCGCTCGCGCACTCAACTCACTCATTTCCTTCCTCGACGCTCACAGATCTTGCGCCTTAGGAACGGCCAGTCCTCCCTCAACCACGTTGTTGCCCAACACCGCCTCAGTCGAACCCAACAACGACGTCTGCCCTGTTCTGTCCCTACCTAATAAGGAAAGGGGAGGGAGAGAAAGGGCATCGCTTCTGTTTTTCCTGCCGAGCTCTGGGCCTTGCGCCCAGCAGCGCCAGGTGCGACAGACGCTCAAAGTCGACGAGGAAGAGGGCCGCTTTCCACCCACCCTCGACCAACGAATTGGCTCACATTCCCACCAGTGTCACCGGCCACGCCGCTGCCAAAAGAATTCCTCTCACTTCACTTCTTTTTTGTTTACTTCGTCCAGACACACGTCTTCTCTCGACATTATCGCCTTGACACGACCGCGCGCTTGACACCCCAGAAGATCATCATTCTTTTGTCCCAGTAGCGCATTACTTTTAGAGATAGCCGCGCGTCATCTGGTCTTCTTTGGTCGCCCCCCACGCTCTAGGTATATCTTGATTCGGTGGCTTTTTACTGTCATATCCGCTACCCCTGCGGTGCCGATAGTCACGTCACGTCCGGATCCCGGTACAACACAAATCCCACCGCGTCCGGTATGGCAGATCAACAACAGGCTGCGGCACAGCCGACCTCCGTCAACCCTCATGATCCTGACGCTACTGATCCACCCTTGCTGAAGGACAACTCGGAGTTCCGTGCGTACGACACGGATCGCTACACATACTCCGGCATCAGGACGTTCTACAAGCGACACCTTCAAGCAGACCAGCTACCCAAGCCACCTCTTCCTTTGCTAGTCTTTGTTCATGGGCTTGGGGGTTCCGTGGCCCAGTTTCATCCGCTGTTGATGAGCCTTGTTCACATATCGTCATGCTTGGCCATCGACCTGCCCGGGTGTGGCCGCTCCGAGTTCAGCGAGCAGGCATGGGATGCCTACACCCCAGAAGCACTAGGGGAGTTGTTGGAAGTTATCATTGACGACTACCGTCAGAAAGAACCTAATCGTAACGTCGTTCTCATCGGCCATAGTATGGGCACGGCCTTCTGTGCACGGCTGGCT